GAGAGAGAGAAAAGAAAGAAAGAGAAATGGGAGCTGGAGAGATGGCTCAGTGGTTAAGAGCACAGCCTGCTCTTCCAAAGGTCCTGAGTTCAATTTCCAGCAACCACATGGTGGGTTTACAACCATCTGTAATGAGATCTGGTGCCCTCTTCTGGCCTTCACACATAATAAATAAATAAATCTTTAAAAAAGAAAGAAAGAAAGAAAGAGAAAAAAAAGGAACAAACTGAATGAACACCTCCCAGGATCTGGGATTGCAGGTGTGTGCTCTAAGTATCCACTGGATTCTTGGTTACTTAGTGATTTTTTTAAATTGCTCTTGTGTGTATACAATATGGGAGGTGCACACAGGCCACATGTGGAAGAGGACAACTTTCAGGATTCATTCTCTCCTTCCACCTTTACACAGAAGTGTTGACCCACTAAGCCACCTTATCCAGCCTACATAGTGAGTTTAAGGCCAGCCTGGGCTAGATGAGACCTTGCCTTACACACATGCACATACATATACACACACCCACATAAACAGAGGCACACACCAACTAAACACAAACATGCATACACACAGAGACACATACAAATACATACTTACCTAACACAGATACATACAGACACATAAACACACACATGTACATAGACATATGCAAGTGTACATACTGATATATATACATTCAAGAACATATAACTTATATACTCACACTTGCATATAGACACTAATACACATATATGCATAAACACACATGTATTCATAATACGTAAATACATACATAAGTAAATACACATATGCCCACTCACACAAAGAAACATACATACATACATATATTGATATGCATAGAAACACACATATACATGCATACACACAAAAAACACATGTATTTAAACACACATATATCAATACACACATACATATACATAGAGAAACATCCATATACATATATACATTAATACACAAACACACATATATGCTGATACATATACACATGCATACATACAAAGACCACTTAAACACACAGAGACATACACATATAGAGATTCATACACATATACACACATATGCACACACTTAAACAAACTCATATACATACAGAAAGACATGCATACACATAACACACACACACAACACACACTGCTTACACAGTTCCCCTTCTGAGAATCTAAGGAAATAGGCAGCCAGAGTCAGGGATTAACAATGACTTTGAGATTGTTTGCTAAGGAACCGTGAGATGCTGCATGCTCTAGTGCCAAGCCAGTATCTCACCCCAGATGATGTTTGGCTTCAGTTGCCGAATCCAGAGACCGGAGGTCCGGTGGGAGTTCCGAGCTTCCCATCTGCTCCAGCATTGCTGGCCCCGGCGACAAGGCCAGGCCAGAACCTCCAACCAGCATGCCCACACAGAAACGCCCACACTGAGCCCAGGCCCAGAGCCAGGGAGCCAGCCACCTGGTTTCTCAGAGTAGCTGTTCTGACGGAGTCAAGAGCTGGTGAGAAGGTCCCACCTGCAGGACTGCTCCACCTGGAGAAGCTCAAGGTCACACAGACCAGTTTAGAGCTCACTGGACAGCCAGGCTATCCCACAGTGCAGCAGTGGGGTGTGGGATAGATGGATGCTGCAGTGGCACCTTGCTGTCCCCTCTCAGCACAGAAGCCAGGGTTGGATTCTTGTACAGTCCAGTCTTAGTCCTGGGAAAGTGGTCTGGGGGACGCCCTCCCTGCCAAGACCACGGATGGAGCATGTGCTGTAGGCCCCATCAGTCCCCGAACCACATCCCTTTCTCTAGCAGGCCCTGGGTCCTAGGGAGGTCATGTGACCAGAGGCAAGCCCAATCCGCTTGTTGGGAAGAACTACCTTAAATTCTCATGAAACAATCTGAGGCTACAACCACAAAATGGAAAGGAAACAACCGAGCAGCAACTTGACTTGTTCCTGGGGTACAACTGGCAGTGGGTTGAGACATCTTTGGTCGTCAAAACTGGGGATGGTGTCTAAGGCGTGGGACCAACAACACTTTGAAGGCTCCTACAGTGAAACGCCAAGCATCGCTAGAGAAAAACACAGCTGGTGGAGGAGGCTCGCAGCTCAGTTCGTGGAGTACTTGGCTGTCAGGCATGAAATGATTTGGGGCTGGAGAGATGGCTCAGCAGTTACGGATGGGGGCTGGAGACAGAGTTCAGGAAGCGGGTGCCTGACTAGCGTGTTCAAGTCCCAGGCTCACATTGAACAGACGGAAACTGAACGTGTTTTCTTCCATTTTGTGGATAAACAACCCCCCTCAGGAAAAAACCTGCCTTCGTTGCCCAAGGTCACCATGGCGAGCTCATGGTTTGTGCCAAACTGCTGTTTGTTCAATGGCTTTAACCAGAGAAAAACTATTTCGATATCAGAGCCAACCCCCAGAGGAGAATGCCACCTGCACTTTGAACTTTAAGGCAAAATTGACACTTCTAAAATGGCTGCTTTCAGCCGGGCGGTGGTGGCGCACGCCTTTAATCCCAGCACTTGGGAGGCAGAGGCAGGCGGATCTCTGTGAGTTCGAGACCAGCCTGGTTTACAAGAGCTAGTCCCAGGACAGGCTCCAAAACCACAGAGAAACCTTGTCTCGAAAAACCAAAAAAAATAAAAATAAAAAATAAAAAAATAAAATGGCTGCTTTCACGACCCTAATGACCATAATAAAAGGTCCTCCCGATTACAGGGCATTAGGGGTAGAACTAGAACCAGAACACAGGATTCTGCACCCAACACCCCTCATCTTTGCCAGACTCTTTTGCCCTGAGTTTGCCACCCACACAGTAGTCCCAGAACTGTGCCGTCTGGCTTGCTCACTTCCTTTCTTTCTTCCCTTCTTCCCTCTCTCCCTCCTTTCTTTCTTTTTTGAGATAGGGTCTCCCGTAGCCCAGGCTGAAGTTGCTGCATAACTGAAGATGAACACCTGATGCCCCTGCCTCCATCCACAGGAGCCCTGGAATCACAGGCCTGAGCCACCGGGATCTAATGCTCTGCAGGGCTTCGCTACATAAACAAACACCCCTGAACTACATCTGCAGCCCCTGTGGTTGCTTGCATGGATTACCCGCATTAGTGATCAGCTCTGAGTCCCCAGTAACTGTGCATTAAGGAAAGAAATGAGAGCACTTCCCCCTTGAAGTCATTGAACCAAGAGTGAGTCCAGATTTGAATTTTCTACTTCATGCTCCTGGAGACTTCTATCCTTTGTCTGTTGACTGTATGCGTGTGAATATGGGCCTGCCTGGAGGCTCTGTAACTCTCTCTGTCCCTGTGTCTGTTTGTCCCTGTGTGTGAGACTGTCTCTTCTGTGTCTGTGTGTTCTGTGTCGGTGTGTCTGTTGTTGGATGACTGTGTCTGTCTGTCCCTCACAAAGGGTTTCACTCTCTTTATAGAGTTATTGAGCAGTACAGAAAGCATCACAAGGGGGAAGAAACTGGATACATTACTGAAATATTTTTTGTTTGTTTGTTTGATTTGATTTTCAAGACAGGGTTTCTCTGTAGCTTTGGAGCCTGTCCTGGACCTCTCTCTCTCTGTTCAAGGCTGGCCTCAAACTCACAGTAAGCTGCTTGTCTCTGCCTCCCAAGGGCTGGGATTAAAGGCATGTGCCACCACTGCCCGACGTTGTGTTACTGAAATCTTTAGCAGAGTTTTACAAGAGGCTGAGTATTTGGCACCAATGGATTCCAACTGAATCCAGACAATAAACATCATTGTTTATCAACCAGTATCCATAAATGGATGCTCTCAACCTTGGTGTTAGATTTAGAAAGTTTCTTTCTTTCTATCTTTCAATTGTCTTTTTTTGTTTTTAGTTAGTTTGTTTCTGTTTTGTTTTGTTTTGCTTTGCTTTATTTTTTGAGACAGGGCTTCTTTGTGTTTTCTTGGCTGTCCTGGAGCTCACCCTGTAGAAAGCTAGCCTTGAACTCAGACATCTGCTTCCTTCTGCCTCCTGCCTCCTGTGTGCTGGGATTTACCTGTGCCCCACACCCAGCTGGGCCTGAATCCTTTCTTAACTAAGAAACTAAGGCCCAGAAGACTGACAACTTGTCTGAACTATAGCCCTCTGAGGTCACTGGCAAGGACTTGAGTCCAGGTCTTAGGAGTTGAATTCCAGAGTCTGGAGATGGAGTTAAAAGCATATACTACTTTTGCAGAGGACCATAGTTTGGTTCCCAGCACCCACATCATAGTTCCAGGTCCAGGGGATCTGATGCCCTCTTCTTTTTCTGTGGGTACCTACAGAACATGAACATACTCACATGAACATACTCGCAATCTCAGCACACTTGGTGATTGGAGCATGACAAGTCCTTCATTGTCCTGTGCCTTCGGGATGCCCAGCAGCCTCTCTGTTCTCTATCTTCAGCTGCCAGTAGTACCTGGACCCAAGCCATGACAACCAAAAACGTCTGCAGGCATCATCAAGTGTCCTCGGTGGTTAATCCAACCCATTGGAGAACCACTGGCCTGCAATGCTGTGTGCTCCCTAGGGTGGTTTAATATTTCCTTTTGAAAATGCAACTCCAAGATCAAGCAGTAGTATTCTTCCTCCCCTAACATACAGCACAGTCCCTTGAAAGCAAATAGAATCTACATCTCTGTTGGTGTTGGTGTTTGGAGGTTGGGGGGCGTTGGTGAAACAGCCTTGTGTAGCCCAGACTGGCTTCAAGTACACTATATAGTCATGGATGATCTCAACTCCTGATCAACCTGCCTCCACCTCCCCAGTTCTGGGATTCCAGGTGTGTGCTGGCATACTCAGCCCAAACCAGGCTTCCATACCTATCTTTGCTATGTTTCTCGGTGTACTTCCATGATGATAGGTGGAAGGAAATGGAAAAAGAAATATTTGGATTCCAGCCCTTTATTCCACTGAACTTTGGGAAAATCTCCACCTTGCACACACTCCTTCCGATTCTCCCGCTGATAAGTCCACTTATAAAAACGAAGCTTAGCCAGGGCCAGACCTACAGACATCACGGAAGCACCATGATCAGGACCTTGCTGCTATCTGCATTGGTGGCTGGAGGTAACTTCTGTCTGGTGAAACTGGGACCAGACACTCTCGACTTGTCTTGAGTGGCTGTCCCCTCTCGGGTCGGTCCCTCAGTTATAGGAAGCTTGAGGCAGGGTGTGATGACACACTCCTATAATCCCAGCCATCAGGAGGCTGAGACAAGAGGATCACAAATTTAAGGCCCACTTCAGTTGCCTGACAAATTCAAAGACAAGCTGGGAACTGGGATGAAGTACCGACTGGTGGACCTATTAGATCACCCCAAAGCAAGGGTTTCCCGCAGGGATTTGGATATGTCCACACACACAATCCCCAACTGGTACAACCCTCTCTCTTCACAGTTCTCAGCTGCGGGTACCCCGCTTTTGAGGCCCAGCGACAAGTGAGCAGAGTAGTTGGAGGTGAAGAGGCCACACCCAACAGCTGGCCCTGGCAGGTGAGTCAACCACACCGGTGGGTCTGATATTCAGGCAAACATGAGGACTGGCGGAAATACCGAGGGCAATCTGGGCAATTTCACCAATACAATACATTCCTGCAGCCTTAGCCAGTTTGGAGGTTGAGAGAAAGGTAACTTCTCCAGAAGACTTCAAAAAGGAACCGCCAGATGCCCACTTCTCTGAGACACACATTTGCAATGCTTGCTGGCGCATGGGGTTACTCTGTGAGGCAGTAGACGTCTCTCCTATGCAAATATTCTTTGTTTGAATGGACCAGTCAGGGCTGTTTATGCAAATTAACTCTTAATTACACTGTTACCAATGAAAATAACTGTTTCCTTGCACTGATAGAATCATAGTGCTGTCAAAACTGAAATTTGGCACAGGCACAAATGACTAGATCTTTCATAGGACATGTGTGACCTTTAAAATGGGTATTTTTTTTTTAAAAAAATCTCTTACCTGGCATAATTTGCACTTAGTTGAAAAGTTGGCTGTAGAAGAGAATTTTGTTGCTGTTGATTATTTCGAGACGGGATCATAGGTCTGTAAGACCTGACTTAGAAAACCATACCCAACACCAAACACATGTTTTTATATGTATTGTTTTTGTGGGTCTGGGTTTCTCTGTGTAGCTCTGCCTGTCCTGGAACTCGCTCTGTAGACCAGGCTGTCCTTCAACAGAGATCCACCTGCCTCTGCCTCCCAAATGCTGGGATTAAAGGCACATGACACCATTGTCCAGGCTATTTTACATTTTAAAAAAGATTTATTTATTTATTTTATGTATGAGTGCTCTAACTGCATGTACACCTTTATGCCAGAAGTGGGCATCAGATCCCACTAGAGATGGTTGGGAGCCACCATGTGGTTGCTGGGAATTGAACTCAGGTCCTCCGGAAGAGCAGCCTGTGCTCTTAACCATTGTGCCATCTCTCCAGCCCTGTTCTACATTTTTTTAAATGTCAGAAGCACGTCTGTTTTAAAATAGCTTTCCTGGGGAGCTGGAAAGAAGGCTCCAAAGTGAAGAGTACTTGCTATTCTTTCAGAGGCCCCCAGTTCAGTTCCCAGCACCCACGTAGCAGCTCACAACAATCTAGAACTCCAGTTCCAGGGCATCCAGTGCCCTCTTCTGGCCTCAAAGGGCACTAGACAAAGCACATGGTGCATATACATACATAAAGGCAAACACTCATACACATAAAATAAAAACCAGTAAGCATTATCTTTTTTAAAAAAATATTTATTTACAGTGTTCTGCCTGCATGTATGCCTTCAGGCCAGAAGAGGGCACCAGATCTCATTACAGATGATTGTGAGCCACCATGTGATTGCTGGGAATTGAACTCAGGACCTCTGGCAGAGTAGCCAGTGCTCTTAACCTCTGAGCCATCTCTCCAGCCCCAAGCATTATCTTTTTATATTCAACTGCTTATTTATTTATTATCTATTTAGATAGAGTCTAACCATGTAGCTCTGGCTATCTTGGAACTCACAATGTAGACCAAATTGGCCTTACACTCAGAGATCCACCTGAGCGCTGGAATTAAAGGCATGTGCCACCACTCCCATCCTAAGTGCTGTTTGTACGTGTGGAATAGGTAAGCTCTTTCCGTAGGTCACATGAGAAATAGTTCACGGTCCTGCTGGCATTGCTGCACGCAGCTGCCTTTGCTCACATGTAAAATGGGCATGATAAGCAGTAAACGGTGCCCTGTGGGGTCACAGGAGTGATGAGAAGTGACTCTTGTGCTCAGCTCAGAAAGATGTGTGACACACGGCAATGGGCACAGTATCTAAATACTATTCTATGGGAATTATCAGTGCTGTTGAGAGCCCTGCCCAAGTGGTCCCTATTTTCCTGATAAAGGAACTGGGACTCTGAGTGGTCACATAACAGCCCAAAGCCACCCTGTTAACTTGGGAAGAGTCAAGATTCAAATTTGATTCAGAGTATGTAGTTCAGTTGGTGTTTGGTAGCTCTGGTTAGATCTGCATTGCCACATAAAACTTTGGGCATGGCGGTGCAGGAACATAATCCTAGTATTTGGAAGGTGAGGGCAGGAAGAGAGGTGCTCAGGGTCACCTCCAGTTATATAAAGAATTTGAGACCACCTTGGGATATGTAAGATCTCAAGCATTTTTTTAAAGCAACTGATTTTTTTGGTCCCCTCCATGCTACAGGAAGCTATTTCTTTCCTTCCTTCCTTCTTCCTTCTTTCCTTCCTTTCTTTTCTTTCAGGTTTTTTTTTTTTTTTTTTTTTTGGTTTTGCTTGCTTGTTTTTTGAGACAGGGTTTCAGGGTTTCTCTGTAGCTTTGGAGCCTGTCCTAGAACTCACTCTGTAAACAAGGCTGGCCTCAAACTCACAGAGATTCGTCTGCCCCTGCCTCCCCAGTGCTGGGATTAAAGGCATGTGCCACCACTGACCAGCAGGAAGCTACTTCATTAATTCTCAATAAACTCACCTTCAAAACCAAAAGCAATGGCTCAATCCTGGCTTTTCTGCCCATGAGAAAAAAGTTTCTATCCACAGGGAGATTTTGTGTATTTTAGATTGGAGCAGAATCCTTTCGAGTATCTTTCTTCATTTTATTTATTTTTTAGTTATACTTTATTTTTATGTGCATTTGTGTTTTGCCCCATGTATGTCTGAGTGAGAGTTCCTGGAACTGGAGTTACAGAAGAGCTATGAGCCGCCATGTGGATGCTGGGAATTGAACCTGAACCTCTGGAAGAGCAGTCACTGCTCTTAACCGCTCCATCTCTCCGGCCCCTCATTTTGTTTCTTTTATTGCATTTATTTGCCAAGTAGGGACTCATGTATGTCACTCGTGGATGTCAGAAGACAACCTGCAGAAGTCGGTCCTCTCCTTCCGTGCAGGTCCGCATGGGACTGAGCTCCAGTTGTCAGGGTTCCTCCCTGAGCTCTCTCCCATCCCTCGTGTGTCTTTCTCAACCATTGTTGGGTTTGGGGCAGTACTGGGAATTTAACCCAGGGTGCTGCTTACTGATTCCTCTTCATGGCTTGCTCATGCTGCTTTCTTGCACAACCCAGGACCAGCTGCCCTGAGGTGGCACCTGCCATGGTGGGTTGGGCCCTAAGTATCAATCAGGAAAATGCCCGTATCAATTTCTCTATAGGAAATCTGATGGAGGCACTTTCTCAATTGAGGTTCCCTCCTCTTCCCAGATGGCGCTAGCTTGTGTCAACTTGGCATAATACTTGCCAGGACAGCACGCGTGTGCATGTGTGCACTGTTCTGGATGGTGTTGTCATAGAAACTTCATGGAGAAGGTGGCATCAAGCAGAGACCAGTAGGAAGTGGAGAAAGTTATGCTAACAGACTGCAAATACAAAAGCCCCGAGATTACATATCCACCTCCATGTCCTATTTAGCGATTCTTTAAATTTATTTTGTTTATCATGGATTTGTGTTCATTTTTGTTGCTGTTTTGAGACAAGGTTTCGAGTAATCCAGGTTATCCTGGAACTTGGTACAGATTGTCCTTGATCCTCCTGCCCACACATCCCCAGAGCTGAGATTATAGGCATGAACAACCACAGTTCTGTGCTATTTTTTTCTATAAAGCATTAAAATGCTTTTATAGTAACTAGGTTTGGTGACACACACCTGCAGCCCCAGCACCCAGGAGGTGAAGGCAGGAGGATTAGGGGCTCTAGGTCATTCTTGGCTATGTCCCAATAGACCCTGTTTGTTGTGGAGGAAAATGTTTTATCTTGATGGTTTGGGTCTGAGGATAGACCCTAAAGCAGGGGTCTGAGGGAAGTGCCCTGCCCACCTTGCCTTCCTCCAGTCCCCTCCCACAAATGCGCCTGTGCTTCCCCCCAGGTCTCCCTGCAGTACCAGTCCTTGGGGAAATGGTACCACACCTGCGGAGGCACCCTGGTGGCCAACAACTGGGTCCTAACAGCTGCTCACTGCATCAGGTAACTGAGCACCTTTCCCTGCTCACCCAGCTGCTCACCCTACCATCAAGTGACACTCAGCCCTAGAGCAAGGATCCCCGGATCCGCGTACTATAAAGGAGCCTGGAGAACCGCAGCTAGCCTGGCTGACGCATAAGTGCAAATCTATGCCTCAGTGTTGTTGAGTTCCTCTGTCCATAGGTGACATACACTGAGTGCCTTAGGCCAGGAGGATGTAGAGGAGGGAAAAGGCCAGCAACTCCCTTCTCGGGAGTACCAATAATGGTTCTGAACAGGGGACTGTTTCCTTCACGGCGCTCTGCACTGGGGACACTCATGGGGTGTTTGTTCACAGAGGCCAGGGAAAAGTGGTCACTGACCTGTCTTGTCTCTCTGCCCCTCACAGCTCTTCCAAGACCTACCGTGTGGTGCTGGGCCGACACAGCCTCTCCACCGCGGAATCCGGCTCAGTGACTGTTCAGGTCTCCAAGCTTGTGGTCCATGAGAAGTGGAACGCTAACAACGTTGCCAACGGGTATGTTCTATCCCGTCTGGCGTTCTCAGGGATGGACTTGGTAGTTGCAGCAAGAAGGGTCAACCCACCCGTCCTCTGCCCCTTCTGTATGGAAGGGAAGGAGCTCCCTCCTCCTAGAGATGGAGCCACCCCCCGTAGCTGCTGGGGCCCATGTGGGAATGCTGGAGTTACCAGAGGAAGGAGAAGCAAAGGCTTGCGGGAGAGTCTGCTACCCTGCCTGTGGGGGCCCAGCCTGGGATGGTACATGGGAAAATGACAATGGTTGCAAACAGGCAAGCAGGAATAGCCAACACCCTTGTTCTACCTTTCTTCTGACCCAGGTATGACATTGCCCTGATCAAACTGGCCAGCCCAGTGACCCTGACTAGCAAGATCCAGACTGCTTGCCTCCCAGCTGCTGGCACCATTCTTGCCAATAACTACCCCTGCTACGTCACAGGCTGGGGCAGGCTGCAGAGTAAGTGAAAGCAAGCAGGCACCTCCAAGGCCTGGCAGGGAGAGGGGGTGGTGTCACCTCTGTCACTGGGGTGTTTGACTGCCTTGGAGGGGCAGGCTGGCGGAGACTGGAACGGACACCTGGTTCAAATCCCAGCTCTCCCACTATCAGCTATGTGATGCAGGCATATTACTGAGCCTTTCTGGTGGCTTCCTCATCTGTAAAATGGGCAGAGGACAGTAGGAGGAGGGAGGGAAGGTGGGGTAGCAGCTGTACATGATTAACGAGGTGCAGAGCAGGTGACAGAAGAAAGTCCAGAGAAACACTCAAGACACGCTAGCCCCTGTGCGTGAGCTGTCGCTGTCGCTACGGTGAGGTGAGAGGTGTACAGGTCACACTGTGTATTTCGTGTGGCCCCATAGCTCAGAATAACACGGTCTCTGTGACCTCGAGCTTCTGGAGACCCGTGAAGTCCCCACAGATCTCAGCAGAGCCTCTTCTCACTGGCTAAAGCTGAGCCAGATTTGATTGGTTAAGTGTCCTGCTCACTGGTGATTGGTTCAAGAATGAGCACCTGACTCAAGCTAAGCCAATAGGAACGGGGACTAGGGAAGACTCTTTCCCAGCCATTTTCTCCTCCGCAGAGAGGACTGAAGCCCGTCTACCAAGCAAGGGAACAAAGGAGAGGCAGGGAAGTAGCTCAGGCTTCTTGGCTGTACCCGCCTAGTTCCTCATTGGTAAAGTGGAAAGTGTGACAAAGATCAAAGATGTTTGTGAAATGCTCTGGACCCCGGAAAGTGATAACCAAGGGTCAATTGCGTGCTAATTAGAGCAGTCTTGGGCAAGACCCTTAAGTCCCGTGGCTTCCACATCCTGTCAAACAGGAGTAAATGCTGCTGTGAGGACAGCCTGTTTGGAGAGCCTGGTAAAATGCAGTTGAAGGACGCTGATGAGGGCTGGGGGACAGTTCAGCTGGTAAAGCGCTTGCCTTGCAAACATGGGGACCTGAGTTCCATCCTCAGAAGCCATGCTAAGAAGCCAGGTGTGGTTGTGTGTACTTATGCCAGCTCTGGGAATGTAGAAACAGGTAGCTCCCTGGGGTTCCCCATTGGGAGCCCTAAGCTAATGATAGACCCCGACTCAAAAGAGGGATGGCCCTAAAGCGGCAGTTCTCAACCTGTGGGTCACAGTCCCTTTCAGGGGGGGTCACATAGCAGATATCATGCATAACAGATATTTACATTACGATTCATAACAGTAGCAAAATTACGGTTATGAATTAGAGATGAAAATAATGTTATGGTTGGGGGTCACTACATGAGGAACTGTATTAAAGGGTCACAGCTTTAGGAAGAGAGAGAGAGAATGAAAATGAACTTTATCCTGGCCAACTGTGGCAGTGATGTGGGGTCATGAGGAAAATTACCTTCACGACAGAATTTTCTTTCCCAGCTAGAAGGCTCCAGATGGCTCCCTGTCTTAGTTAAGTAAGAGAAACGGAACCAATTAGGTGTCAGGAACATTCCAGAACAAGGAGTCTGAAGCCTGTAAGAACCATAAACTTGCCAGGCGATGGTGGCGCACGCCTTTAATCCCAGTGATCGGGAGGTAGAGACAGGCAGATCTCTGTGCGTTTGAGGCCAGTCTGATCTATAGAGTGTGTTCCAGGACAGGCTCTAAAGCTACACAGAGAAACCCTGTCTTGAAAAACAAAAACAAAACATAAGCTCTCTTTCAGAGAGTCTTTTCTGCCTCGTTCTTCTCCGCGTCTAAAAAAAAAAAAAAAAAAAAAAAAAAAAAGGCATCCACAGCCCACAGCTCTCTGGCTTCCATCTCTTTATGCCACAGCCTCCGAGAAAGGAGCCCATTGGCTTTAGCTCGAGTCAGGTGCTGACCCCAGAACCAATCACCAATAGCCAGCATACAAGCCAATTGAGGGCACAGTGCAAACTAACATGGCCACCTCCACTGCAACCTTGTGAGTGGGAGAAAGATCCATGGACCAGAAAGAAAGGGGCGAACAGAAATCTAGGCGGTGATGCTTACCCACCCATCCCACCCCTGTACCGTATGTATGGCTGGCAAGCTCCAGGGACCCTCCTGACTCCGTCCCCACCCCCACGGCCACACTTGACTCTGTCCGTGAGCACTGGGGATCCGAACTCAGGCCCTCGGGCTTTCATGGCGAGCATTTAACCGACAACCCCACTGCCTCCTTTTTACTCGGAGTCTCTGCCCACTCTCACCTTCTCTCTGGTCTCATTCAGCCAACGGGGCCACTCCTGACGTCCTGCAGCAGGGCCGCCTGCTGGTTGTGGACTACGCCACCTGCTCCAAGTCTACCTGGTGGGGAAGCACCGTGAAGCAAAGCATGGTGTGCGCTGGCGGTGATGGTGTGACCTCCAGCTGCAATGTGAGTATCCACCACCAGGTGGCCCAGTCTACAACCAAACATGGCCGGGATGTGGCAGTGGTGGGGGTGGGGGGTGGGGTGGGTGAAATGTTGGGGGTATCCTAGGGTCCATCTTCTCCCTCCCTCCTAGGGCAGGAGCCTTGCAAACGGTTCTGGACCATTTCAGAACCTGACCTTTGTTCTCAGTCCCCAGGAAAGATGGTTTAAGCTCCATCACCCTGTCTTTGCCTAACAGCTAGGAAGTCTTGAGTGTTTCCTTGGATCTCATCCAGGTCTCTACTGTCATCCCACTGTAATGGCCCAAGGTGGCCCCTTGGGTAGCTGCTATAGAAGTCTTCTTAGAGACTGTGGCACAAACCGAAGGTCTTGTTATAGGCATATTCTTCTGAGGGGGAAGGGATCCTCACACCTACAGTCAGTGCCTGGCCTGCGCAGACCCCTCACTCCATGGTCTCCTTCGGGCAAGTCTGAGCCTCTAATACTCAGTTGCCTTCTCCAGTGAACCTGAGAAACTCAGACTGGCCTCACAGGCTTGAAAAGACAAGAGGCACAGAAAGTGCCTAGGTGCAGCTTGGGGCATGTATCTATCGTCCCAGCACTAGGGAGGGTGAGGCAGGGGGATTGCTGCACCTTTTAGCTCAGCCTGGACTACATGGAAAGAACCTGTCTGGGAGGAAAAATGTGAGCCAAGCCGGAATCATAATCCACACCTGTAATGCCAGCATTTATGGGGCTGAAGCAGGAGAGCCAATTGTGAGGCTGATCCCCAAATAAAGATATGCCAGCTCCCGTAGACAAGGTACCACAACCTGGGATCTGGCTGGCCTCAGAGGATGGTGATCAACACGAATATACTAAGAACCCTGCCCCCTTGGGCATCCTCCATTCACACCCAACTCTGGCTTCCTAGGGGGACTCCGGCGGACCACTGAACTGCCAGGCATCTAACGGCAAGTGGCAGGTGCACGGCATCGTGAGCTTTGGCTCCTCTCTGGGCTGCAACTACCCCCGCAAGCCATCCGTCTTCACCAGGGTCTCCAACTTCATTGATTGGATCAACACGGTAAGCACCACCAGCCCCAAGCCCGCAGTCTGCCATGAGGCCTGCGGGGCTTCCCAGGACCAGCAAGTGTTATCTCATTTCTTCTTATGGGTATACAGGTCCAGCCTTCACCCTCCAATGCAGTCAGTGGTCATATATGTTTACAAAGTCCACACCCAAAGGTTTGAGACCCCGACAGCCTTAGTTGTCAGCACTTAGTTCCCCTGAAGAGTGCTCCCCCATCCCCACAAGATGACCAACTGTCCCTATCTGCCCCCTTTGGACTATTCAGTCCTATGTTGGGCCACTTCCAGGCAAATGGGACCGAGTCCTTTCCTGGAAGCCCAATTTCCTTTTTACTATAACAAGCACAAACTATTAAAAGAATAGTAGGGGGAATGTAGGCAGTACAGTGCAAGCCTTTTGAGTACCAAGACCTGAGTTCAATACCCAGAATCCCTGTAAAAAGCCAAGCATGGTATGGTAGCCCATGCTTGTAATCCCAGTGCTGGGGAGGCAGAGACGGGAGGATCCCTGAGACAAGCTGGCCAGCCAGAGCAGCTGAGGACACAGGCAGCAGTTGGGGGGAGCAGCCAGAACAGTGGGGAACTGGCATGCTCAAAGGATGGAGGGAGAGGGAGTCTGGGGAGGGATGCCAGGGAGGGAAGGGTTCTGCCCACAGGGTGTATTTTAATTCACTCCTCCGTAGCCTCCCCTTTGGTTTGTTTTCCTGTAGAATGGGATTTGAACTAAACGGACTTCTCAGCAGGAACAGCAAGGATGGTGGTACTTGTGACAGAGTCCATAAAGTAGGGAAGTTGTCATTGTCTCATTACCTCCAGTTCAGTCTGCAGGGAACCTTAAATTGAATTGGATTGTTAGAAAACCAGATATGAACTGGCAGCCATGCACACGGGGAGAGGGTGCTGTCCAAGCCAGCCTGAGGCTGCTTCCAGGCTTGCCCACTCGTCCTTGCCAGCTTCTCAGTCATCTGTGTGCTGGTTCTGGTCGGCCCACACTAGACTTAGCCCCAGAGCATCCAAAAAAGATTGTTAAAGAGCTCAGAAATGGATCAAGGAGATAAAGGCTCTTGGTGAGAAATTTGACTGACGGCCTAAATTCAAAGCCCAGGACCCTCATAGTAGGAGAAAAAACAAGACTCCCACCAAGTTGTATTTCAATTTCCATACTTGTGCTGTGGTACATACGCACATACACACATACACACACATGCACACACATGCACAAATACATGCTTCTTTTTTAAGTAAGTTAGAGGAGAAAAACCAGAAAATCAAGAGGGTTTTTTCCATTTTGGTTTGTTTTGATTGTGAACTGGGGAGACTTGTCTAAGTTTTGGCAGAGGGAAATCTAAACTCAGTTTAGAGCATTTCAAAGGAGCCTCAATGACTGGGCAGAAAGATGCTAATGGGTTTTGTCTCGGGCAGATCCTGGGATCTTTTGTGGCCCCAGCTGCTGCCGTCAGTCACTATGCAGCTGAGCCTGGCAGCACCTTTGGGACCTAAAGCATGACTTGTTGTCCCAGCACCTGCTGTTCACAGCCACAGGCAGACAGAGCTGGGCAGATGGCTGTGGGTGGGGGTGGGGGCAGTCAGGAAGATCAAAAAGGGAAAGCAAACCTTGCTGGGCACCTGAGCAGAGCCCTTGCGTTCTCAGGAGAGCAGTCAGTGTTGGAAGGCGGGGATTGGGGATGGCGGCCAGCAGGAGTAGGGAGCTGAGGAGCCAGCTGGCCCTGGAGGAGCAATGGGAGCCTCAGAGGGTCCCAGCCCAGGGCCGCACTGTGTGTGCACATGCGGCCTTAAGTCTCAAACAGCTGCAACCCTGAGGATGCTGGGAGCACCTGTCTAGACAGCCTTAGGTGATGAGCCAAGGCCAGCAAGCTGCCAACGAAAGGCACAAATGAGATCAGGCAGCCCGAGACATTCACCCTCTCAGCAGCTGTCCATTGGAAAATGTCAGCCTGGATGCTTGAGCAATCACAGCTTTATTGTTCTGTTCTGAAAGGAATATATTTCTTTATTTAAAATATTGCTTATAAAAAGAATATAGGAGTTATTAAGTAAGCAGGGGAGATCTCACTTTAACCTGTGTTCCCATTCCACAGAGGGAATCACTGTGAATTACATGCCATGTGCTCTTCTGGGTTTTGTATGCATATAAGACAAAAATATAAAACAAAACAAAAACCTGTATTGCCAGACATAATCAAAACATTTAGCCTGGAATGGTGGCAAACACCTTTAATGCCTACATTTGGGAGGCAGAAGCAGGCAGATGTCTGTGAGTTCAAGTCCAGCTTGGTCTACAAATTGAGTTCCAGGACAACCAGAGCTGTTACATAAAGAAACCCTGTCTTGAAGAAGAAAAAAAGCAAAACCAAACAAACAAACAAACAAGGGATGTTTCATCATTCCGTTGTAATGCCTGCACTGCTGCAGTGAGCAGCCTTGGGCAAGTCTTGGACTCTGCTGAGGGCCTGGGCTATAGCAACCGGCAGCTCCACTGTGTATGGAGACTGTATGTTAGAATGTACAGGGAATCCCAGCACAGGGGGAGGTGAGAGGGTTGGGAATTCAAGAGCATCCCTGGCTACAAAGCAACTTTGAAGCCATTGTGGGCTATGAGAAACCTCATCTCAAAAAAAAAAAAAAAAAAAAAAGCCCCAAGGGCTATTGTGCAGCTCCATGGTAGCGTAGGTCTGAGACCCCAAATTCCATCCCAGCACCAAAACCAGACACATCCAAAAAAGTATTTGATCCGCTAATTGGTCTTGGAAACAATTAGCCCGGTGTAGTGCTGCACACCTTTAATCCCAGCACTGGGGAGGCAGAGAGAGGCAGGCAGCTCTGTGAGTTCAAGGCCACTCTGGTCCACAGAAGGACTTCCACAACAGCCAGAGCTACACAGTGAGACCCAGTCTCAGAAAAACAAAGAAACAGATTGCACCCAAAGCCACACCAATCTGTACATTTGTCATGCACTCATTAGAGATGCATGGCCTCTGGTCCTGAGGCCCCAGCAGGACTCCAGGTGAAGATCCCTCTTTACAGGTTGGGAAAGCCATGACTCCCTGAGAGTCAGCCATCAGGCTAACCTCACCTTCTCCTGTGTGTCCTGCAGGTGATTGAAAAGAACTAAGGGAAGATGGCTCTGGGGCTGTCACCTTGGAAATGCAGTCACATGGAAAGCAGTAATAAAGTGACTCTATGAATCACATCCTGGTATGATCTGTCTTATTAACCAGACGTCCTAGCATCAGGGCCTGGAAAACAAAGCCCTGGAGGAGCGTGGTGCGATGGGGCATGCTATAATCCAGTGCTCAGGAGGCATCAGGGATGCGCTACACAGAACCCAGCTCAGAGATAAACCCTACCATGTGAGCTCAAGTGGATGTTCACAGAGCAAAGACTATCAGAAAGAAAGGAAACTAAGTCAAAGTCAGGATAGCTATACAGACCCCAGGGGCAGCACCTTCTCCAGGGAAGGCCAGCATTTCACCATTGCACGTCACTGCCATCAGGGGACAGGTTCACTTGGCAAGGAAGACACTGGGAGATAGCGGTGGGGACTCAGGATAGCCGAGCTCTGTCCAGGTGTCTCCAGAAGGGTAATCATGGTCCTTCAGACAGGAGACTTTTCATGGAGACTCCAGGCTCCCCTCAAGTCACCTCCTGGACTTGGGCAGGGAACTTAGAAGACATGGAGAAACGCTCAGGAAAAAAACCAAAGTCTCCTTTGTAGGGAAGAACAGACAATAGGAGTGGGGACGACACAGGCAAGAGGAAGACCTTTGGCCTAAGATTTATTTTTTAAGAATAAATGATACAATAAAGGAAGAACGAACCCTTCTGGAAACTTCAGTGAGACTCAGAGATCCAGGTGTTCACACTGGCCCGCTGGACTGCGGGTCTGAGCCCCAGACCGCTGTGGACAGTGGTCCTCCAGTGGGGGCTGTTATGTCCCCTAGGGCACATGTGACAATGTCTGAAGACATTTCTGGTTAGCAGAACTCAGGAAGGGTCTCCTGGCAACTGGCAGGTAGAGACCAGAGATGGTGCAAAACACCCTGTAATACACAGGATAATCCCATGACAGGATTACACCCCCCACACGTCAGCCGTTCAGCGGCAGAGAAGCCCTGCTCTAGAGAGGGCCTGGGGTCACAGATGGCATCCACAGCACACTCTCCCTCCACCACTCTGCGTCTCTCACCAACCTGGAAGCTGCTAGGAGCCTGTCTGCCACACAAGGGGAAAGAGCGGCCTGTCCCAGTTCCAAAACCCTGGCTTTGCAGGACAGTCCTGGTCTCAGCCACCTCCAGGGTATGAAGGTTTAGGGAAGAACAATGAGGCAATGAGCAGCCCCAGCCTCATTAAGTCCTGAAAAACAGTTTCTTCCGGAGGAAGTTAAAACAGCCAGGAATCTGCTTATAAATTCCTTTCTCAGAAACAGCATTGGCAACCTGCAAAACAGAACCACAGGGGGAATCTATGAGTTCAGTGCCCTTGTCTGAGGCCATAATTAAGGGGGAGGGCACTGAAGGGGCGGGGCCATCAGAAGGCCTCCTGGGTGGCTTATAGAACAAACAACACAGCTACTGGAAAAGAATGGAAAACTCAAGTTTTCCAATACAAAACTCACAATTCCAATCAGACTGAAAGGCTAGGGGTAAGAAAGATGGCGGTGGAGGGGTCGGGAGGGGTGTAGAACAGGGGAGGGAGGGGAGGACGGGACCCAGAAGCGTGTGCTGCTCAGCTCCCCCTGCCCTGTAGGGCCCCACTCAGGATCAGAAGTGACTCCTATCCCCCCGGAGTGTGTACCTGAGCAGAGCAGTGAAAACCCACAGGGTCCTCGTTGTTTGGAGCATTATTTAACTGGGCAGAGATGTGGTCCATGTGTTCCTGCCGCATCTCTTTAACTATGTAAAGATGTGTTCCATTTGTTTCACCTTGCCTGCCTAAGGCACCTGACTGAGCTAATAAAAAGCTGACCTGGCAAAGCTAGGCAGGGGAGGGAGAGGTGGGCCCGGCGGGCAGAGAAAATAAATAGGGAGAAGAGAAGAGAATGAGGGAGGAAGAGGAGGAAGAGTCAGCCAGCAGGCACGAGAAGCAGTGAAAGTAAGGTACGCTGATGGAAAGAAAATAAAAAGCTCCGAGGCAAAAGGCAGATAAAGAGAAACAGGTTAACTTAAGTTAAAAGAGCTAGCCTAGGCTGGGTCGAGTATTCAGAACTAATAAGAAGTCTCCATGTTATGATCTGGGAGCTGGTTGGTGACCCAAAAGAAGGGAGCGAGTGCCCCGAGTTGGCTGGCTGCTGCAGAGCAAGGCCCCGCCAAGCCCCTTCCCTGTGCATTCATTCTCCTTGAGTGTGGGAGCCCGCAGTGACTCTATTTCCATCTTGAGTCAAGGTCAGAGAGTTCAAGCTTGTCAAGGCCAAATAACAGGGTGTTTGAGCAAAGGCATGGTTACTAGATGTTTGGAGAATTAAAGAGGTGATTACACTTGTTTGTTCCTTGAACCAAGGGGAGGAAGTCTTGCCCTCCCCTTTTTGCTTTGGGTATAAAAGGGCTATGAGTAATAAATTCGAGGCTACTCCAACATTCACTGAGAACCCTCCAGAATCTATCTTCTTTTTTCTTTCTTAATTCTCACCCTGTTTCAGGTATTGCTCGACAAGTTGGTGGGTCCCAACAATTAGGCCTCCAGGAAGGGGACACTCTAGGACAGAATCACAGTGCTTGATGGTCAAGAGTCAATGACATTGGGCTCTAGATGGAGCTCAGTTGGGAGGTTACTTGTCTAGCATGCATGACATTCTGGATTTCACCCATAACAACTGGGTGTGGTGGTGCACAGCTGTTAATCCCAGCACTCGGGAAGTAGAGGCAGGAGGATCACAAGTTCAAGTTCATTGCTCACTACACAGCAAGTTCTAGGCCAGCCTGAGCTACATGTGACTCTATCTAAAGAGAGCATGTTGGGGACTGCCACAGGGTTAAGGGAGAGGCACGTGGTCAGGCTTCAGGGTACCATGCTCTTGCCACTGAGCCACCCCACCTGGCACTTAGGACACTCCGTCACCTGGGAACCAGGTGTCAGCCTGGGCACCCATCTCCAAGGAAGCAGGGGAAGATAGCACTTCGCCAACAGGACGAACGTCATCACCATGCTCACGTTCCTCACTTGAGAGGCAAAGTGCTCCCCGACTCTCAGCCAGGGCCTGCTGCCCTGCTCTCCAGGCCTCTGCGCCCCTCAGGAAGAAGGACTCACCCTGAGGAGGAGGGACTGCAGGTCTTCAGAGCGAGCCCACTGCCCCAGGACGCCGTCCAGGGTCTCAATGTACCAGGAGCCACTCTTCTTGTCTCTCCAGGAGACAAAACCTGCAGGAGAAGACCGAACTCTGTCACCCAGCAGAGAGGCACATTCGATGGCAGGGTATGCAGGCCACAGCCAGATCCACACTGTAGCTCACAGTCAGGTGGCAAGGGAGGCCCTATCCCCATGGCTCCCTGAGTAGCTGTGGCTCCCATCTTCTCCCAAGAAAATCAAGGTTCTGGGAAGTCGGGGGTCTCAAGGTCAAAGGATGCACCCAATTGCCCCCTTACCACCACACAGCCAACACTGTGCTGAAGGAAGTGCCAGCCCCATCCCTTGTTTACTCTGCAGCAACCCCAAAAGGATCACTGTTCTGAAGCCTTGCCTGCTTCACCCTAAGAAGGGGCTCAGGAGAAAGGAAGTGACTTGCCAAGGCCCCGCAGGCTGTACCCAGCAGAAACAAGACTTCAGGACATAGCTGCCTCCTGCCTCCGGGGCTAGGGGTGGGGGCATCCCTGGGAAGGTGGGATAGGATAAATGAGCTAGCTCACCTGGGAAGGTGGAATAGGATACAAGGATGTCACTGGGAGTGGGCAAACTTGACACGGCATCCAGCTGGTCACAGGTCCTTGGGCCTTCCTGGTATGGGACAGCATCTGGCTCAGAGTCACTGTCAGAGGCCTTGCCTTGAGAGGAAGTACAGGCCACCACAAAGCCGTGGTCTTTCTGCTCTGCAATAAGCAAAAATAGACACCCAACGTCACTACACCGTAGAAGCACTATAGCAAGAGGTGCTTCTCCTGAGAAGGGAAAGGCCTGGTCCTGAGTTCTGCCAACACTGGAAGGAAATCGAAGCTGGACATGGTGGAGCACACCTACCTTATTTCCAGACAGGGTCTCGCTATGCAGCCCTGGCTATCCAGGAACTCACTATGCAGACCAGGCAGGCCTTGGACTCAAAGATCCACCTGCCTCTGCCTCCCCAGTGCTGGGATAAGAGGCATAAGCCACCGCGCCTGGCAGAGTATTTATTGTTCATTGTGTGTGGAGGTATGTGCACATGAGTGCAGTGCCCACAGTGGCCACTAGAGGGTAGATCACCTGGAGCTGCAGTTACAGGAAGCTGCCCAATGCGGTTGCTGGGAACTGAACTGGGTCCTCTCTGCAAAAGTATATGCTCTTAACTATGGATACATCTCTCCAGGCCCTGGCCTTGACTTCTGCTCGCCCTGTTTAGGCTTCCCAGATAGCTGAGATTACAGGTCTGTGCTAGCAGGCCCAACCGTTTGTCTTTTTTTAACTACCCTAATCATTTTATGGTTTCCCAAAGAGGAAATTCAAACTATACCAAACAGGGGGACGACAAGATGGCTCAGTAAGGACATGCATTTGCTGCCAAGCCTGGACCACACAGGTCCAGTGCCTTCATGGATACAGGAAGCCCTGACGAGAACTGACTCCAAGTTCCCTCTGATCTCCACAAACATGCATAAGTGTGAACATACAAAGTTTTATGTGTGTGTGCCAAAGAGATTTAAATTTACACCATATTAAAACCTTTAACTGCAACTTTGCAGCAAACATATACCCCAAATAAAGAAAACCAGTCACAGGTAATCAAATCAGTGTTAGCATGCTTACCTCCTAAACCCACAATTTCCTAAGGAATTAATTCAGGTGCAGCCCATGGCCCACTATGGAAACCCCTGCGTAGTGTGAGCTGAAGGCCATCACCCAAAGGGCTGTTGTCGGGAAACTGACATGGGAAAGAGGAAAGATCAAGTCAGAGAGGGACACCAGTCACATCTCTGTTACACACTGTACCCATAAAGGGACTGATCCCCCGTATATCATACAGCAGGAGGCAGAAGGTCCCCTCAGCACGAAAGCCCTCAGCTGC